CGAAGACTAGCTCAGAACAGGAAAAAGTGTAGGTAGCAACCAGTCTTGATGACCTTATGATGATGGTAAAACCTTCTACTTCACTTTCTCTCTATCTTCGTGTTTGTTATAACCGACTCCAACTGCAGTTTTATAATTTAGTTATATTTTTTATTAATCTATAGGAATCTAACTTTAGAAAAATTGAAAACAGATTTATTGTGAAGAAAATGATTACGAATGCATCTTGCGTAATGCTTTTGTTTTTATTTTTCTGATAGTTGTAAATCACTGTTGAACGGTATTAGAAAGGGTACTGCGTGTAATAAATAAAAGAACAAGTTTGCTGGAAAAGTTGAAGAAAGATATAAACCGAAAACTTGACCGAAAAGCTCCCTTTCATCAAGAAAAACAAAGCCTAACCCTCCTGGGAAACAATTGTGTACGTTCTCCCTTAAACTATGTCTCGTTTTATCAGCAACTTCTTGACAGTATCACTTTTATTTGCAAATAAATCGGCATTATTGAATTATCGCAACACAATTGTTTTTCTTGGAAAGTCATAGAATATAAATACAATTTGACGTAGATATCTAACTTAATGAAATCGAATTTCAGTTACAACTAAAATTAGAAAAATAACGCTTGTGTATGTTTCACTTGGTTTATTGTTTTCTAATTTCTTTGAAAATGCGAAAAAGTACCTGCTCTTGGAAAATAACCTTCTACTCGAAACAAATTTGTCAGACTTCAAGTGAAACTTGCACATATTTTTTTTGTATTTTTTTTTTTGTTTTTTAAGAATATGCTTTACAAAAGTTGTACCAGCTTAAATGCTGTACGCTACAAATTGTGATGAACGAATGCCGTAGGTGAAAATCGATACGAAAGTTATGCCAAAAGAAATCTACGGGAAATTTTCAAAACGAAAATATTCACGAATATTTCATTACAATATAAATAAGTGACCAGTATCCAATGGAATATTATTTAATAACCTAATAGACTTGTTGGTTGGGATAATATAGTTTTAGGGAAATGCGAAGCTTAGCTCAGGATAGGAAACAGTGGAGGTGCGTGTCCAGCCAGTCTAGGGCTGACGACCTTATGATGATGATGAAAATTCACAGTGAATAGGGCATTTACGTTTAGTTCATAAATGAGAAAATAGAATTTAAAAATGTCACAGGTAATTTCATTTTATTGGATTTCAGTATCAATTATCTTTCAACTGATGGGTCAGTAATAACTACAGAAATATCCTTTTCGAATATAATTAGCGCTGAACACTAAAACTGAATTTTCATAACTGTCTGTCAATTTAGCGAAAGTATACAGCATTCATGAATATTTGAATAGCACTATATTTTCAGTAATAATAATGCAGAAAGGGTTGAAATCTGTTCAGTCACATTACGTCCTTTAGGAATTAACGTGTAGTTATTATTCGGGAAATAAATGTTTGAATGCATGCAATACGAAAAAAAAAATAACAGGAACAATTCTAGGTGGTCGTGCTCATTAAGCTCAAAAACACCAAAAATTAAGCATTTATTTTTACTCCTTTCTAGGATTATGCGAATCCTTATAATTTCAGTCTGTTGTTCTGTCTATTCGTCAACCCTGATTTACATTTGCGAAGATTATAATGAAAAATAAAATTAAGTACTGCTTATGTCTAGAAAATAGAATGCATTAAAATCAAAAATTTTAACTAGAATCGTGCAGAGAATGGCAAAATGGACGGAAAATTATTAGGAGAAGGCTAATTTTGTTTTAGAAGAAATAGAAGAATACAAGAAAAAATTATAGTACCGAGAGTTCAAAGATCTAGAAAAAGTGGGAGAAGATATAGATATACAGATAGAGTGGAAGACCTTAGATGCGCGATTTAAATTTTCTGAATGGTGAAGTACCGAAATCCTATGTCATAAAGGATATTATTCGTAGAAAATAAAATATTTTTAAGTCTACATTAAAAGCCAATGTATAAATAATTGGTTGTCTGACGAAATATGGCCTCGATATTTAAAAAAGTTAGACATGAATCTAGGTCTGCGTGTTCGACAAACCGTTTTATGATGCCGTATGGTTTTAGTAGGTGTGCTATCATCAGGAAAAGAGATAGCACAACGTAACGAACGGACTGGCTCACTGTCAACCACGATCAACCTTTCATATTAAAGTTCAAAACCGCCTCTGTCATGCAAAAATAATTCTTCTAAGACAACTAAAACAACAAACCTATTATTTATGCTATAAATTATAAACATATACCTACGTATGAAGAAAGATAAAATTAAAGAAAATTTTAAATTAATCGCCTATAACAAAATGATATTTTGAAATAAACTTATCGCTCAATATTTATTGTTTTCAGACATGTTATGCACCGAATATTCTCCCATGTAAGAAAAAGAAGTTGGTGACAAGCTTAAACCAGGAACAGTAATGTACAACTCGGCATTGGTTTGTCAATATTGAGCCAATGTTATGTCAAACTTGCCAAGTGTCATGGTTTGGTACATTGACGTTTCGCCAAGTTTTGACCAGTACAGTGCAGCTAAGTATAGGTTTTTCAATACTGGACTAATGTTCATCTAATCTTCAAGGTTTGGTACATTAACGTTTCGGCAAGTATGACTAGTATTAGGTTTCTTACTGCTGGGCTAATGTTCGACTAATCTTCAAGTGCCAAGGTTTGATGCATTAACTTTTCGCCAAGTTATGGTTTGTCAATATTGGACCAATGTTATGTCAATCTTCAAGTACCAAGGTTAGGCTTGTTAAAGGCAAATGTAGGGTATAGTTTGCCAATCAAAGCTTGGATCGAAGTGACAAACTAGGTATTTACCATGCTTCGTCCAATATTTGAAAATATTGACTTCCTACATGGGTTACTATACTTTCTATCGCTTATTCCGACATCTTTCCACATTTAACCTCCCTTCTTATTACATAATATAGCGTACTGTCTGTAATTGCTTTTACTACATGATATATCTTTCATATAAAACCTTTATTTACTTATTTCTTCCCATCCTCATATATCGACCTCATAAAACACCGTAATCCTCACCATCACCATCAGTCTTCTTCTCCTTTCACTCTTACATATTTTTTAAACTAACACCCACACTCTTCCCATAGTCACATTAGAAAAATAAACATTTTTAGCAAAACAAAAGTCGAAAACGAACAATTTATTTAAAGCAACATTACAGATATAGGCTAGTCTGAAATAGTATTAGAATAGAATTGAAATCAACCAGGACTGTATGACCAATATGTGTTTGGTGAATTAGACAAAATCGAAGGTTTTCTATTATGTATCCAGATAAGTATATACGTACTATATGTGCCATGATGCAGTTTCATTACATTACGTAATGTTAAGCATTAAAATGTGCTTCTAATGCAATTAGTTTACGGTTTATTTTAATAAAATCGGTAAGCGCAGGCAATATCTGCCCATGATTGTCCTTCACGGCGAATTATTTATTTATAATGTGAAGGAGAACATAATACATATTTATACGTACTGAATCGTACGTACTTATGTACTTAAATTAGTTTTGCGATCAATAGCTGAAGTGCAGTAATAAAAAAAAACGGATTTAGATTGACAGGCGAACTTACCTTATATTTTATAACCTTGTAAATAGTGTTTCACTCAGTGAGAATTGGGTTGGGACGTTAACAACAACAAAACTAATACAAAATTTTCGCCTTTGGATGAAATTCTGTGAGAGTATTCTATCGAAGGGTGATCAACTGTGAAAAAATCTAAACAAGGATACAAGCAACTGTTGATGAACAAAATTAGTTTCACACCTACGATAAAACCACGATTCAAATATTACATATTAGGATATACAAAGTTATTGTTATTTTAGATTATTAATTACTGTAAAATGAGATAAAATACATGTTGGACATTATAGAAGAAGCGTTTTTCCGAAAAGGATGCCAAAAAGATCCGCTAAAGGCAAGTTGTACTATGGTCTATTCTGGATAAGATGTTCTTATAGATATGTTGAATAATTAAGACGATACCTATGCATCAGTCTTTCTCACAGTGGGCGATACGCCCGTTTTTGGCCGCTAAAGTCCTAGAGGGGGGGGATATGACACACTGGAGATGGATATTTAAGTTAAAGTAATTTCGAGAGGGGGGTGCTAGAAAATAATTAAATTAATTCTCAAGTGTAAAATTGGTGTCAGTAACTCCTAGTCTGATACGCAACTAATCCAAAAAATAAGTGTAATAATCTTTAATTTTTAAGTAATTATAATATACGATTTACTTCCTCCTTCATAATTACAACTATATATAATCAAATTAATAAGTCAACAATTTAACTTTCAAACAAAATGCTTGGTCTATTGGTCTAGTAATACTTCTTCTAATGATATTTCGTGATATTAATAGGCAATTTTAATGTGTGTTAAAGTGCATATCTAGATACTTAATTAAAAACTTCAAAAAAATATTATTAATGAAAACTCCTAACGGCATTATCCCTTTAGCCGATTTATGAATTAATTAGATTTATTAACTATCTATCAAAAGAAAGAAGGATAAAAATGTGGAAGTATTAGAAGGAGTAGAACAGAAGTCTCTATGGAAGTCAACAAGAAATAGACTAAGTAGGACACCTCAGGCATGAAGAGCTAATAGTTAGAGATATATTAGAGGCAGAAACGGGAGTTAGGAGGAGTATAGGTAGACCTAGATTAGATTGGTGTTCACAAATAGTTAAAGATGTGGAATGTTCTAGTTTTAGGGAAATGCGAAATAAGAAAGAGTGGAGGTGCGTGCCCAAACAGTTTTAGGATTGACGACCTTGTATCAAATGAACCATTACAACAATCAAAAACACAACTTGTTAAAAGATTCAAATCTTTGTATTACAAATGGCATGACTTTTACGCTTATTCCCGACTCGCAAACTTCTGGAAACATGCGGACTATCACTTAAATTCTGGCGTACTTGTGTAATTAGAAAAAAAAATCTAACCTGCATTTTGTAAGCCCTCCTATAATTGGCCAATTGCTGTGCTTGTACTTTGAGTTTTTGGCGAAGGTTTCTAATGACATTTTGAGCTTCCTCAAGATCGCTCACGTTTTGGGTGTCATCCATTTAAAGCTGATTTTTGTACAACTACTGCTTTCTGTAACAAAAAAAGAACAAATTATGAGTTTATTATTCTCTACCCATTATTTCTCATTTGTAAATAATGAAACAGTTAACCTTTACAATGAATTTTAATAAAACATTTGAAAAGTTTTACAAATTATTTATTAAATATCCTACACGTATTTTGCATTATGTGGGCACCTTCACGAATATCTCTAATTATAGGGTTGTTCGGAAAGTCATTTCGTTTTTTTTTTTGTGGAAATGAAAGACAGTTTTCGTATAATAAACAAATACTTTATTAAATTATATATTGACCGTTCTGGTCCAACACCTTTTGCCATCTTTCTGGTAGTAGCATAATTCCACGCTCATAAAATTTTTGGTCTTTGCTGGCAAA